CGCCCGGGCTTGCTAAGTGGTTTTGTGTGTGTGTGTGTGTGTGTGTGTGTGTGTGTGTATGTGTGTGTGTGTGGTGGGGGGAGTGATTGGCCCACCTCGTATGCAAATTCTGATTTTACTCCTAAAACCTCTATGCTACAGAAAATAGTTCCCAAATTTTATCCTCTTAGCCTTGGAGACTTACTTTTTAGTATGACTCTCTGTCTGTCTGTCTGTCTGTCTCTGTCTCTCTCCTTCTCTCTCCATATGTATATATTATATATATAAATTTGATGTGCCTGTGTGTCTGAGTAAAAGCATGTGCATCATGTGTGTGTAGTACCTATAAACGCCAGAAGAGGGCACCAGAGTCCCTGGAACTGCTGTTAGAGGCTGATTAAGCTGCCATGTGGGGTGCTGGGAATTGACCTCAGGTCCTCTGGGAGAGTAACCAGTGCTCTTAATCACTGAGCTGTCTCTCCAGCCCTGGTGTGACTTTTGGATACAGCATTTCTTGTATTTCAGGCTGTGCTTGAGCTCTCTGGGTAGTGGAAGAAGACCTGGAACTCCTGACCCTTCTGTCTCTACTTCCCCAGAACTGGAGTTACAAATACATAACTCATGCCAGGTTTGTATGTCGTCCCAAGGACTTCATGCATGCTGGGCACACACCCTATCAATAGTTATGTTCCCAGCCCCTCAGAGGCATTTATGTTATAGCTTGTGTTCAATATCCACTCCATTTTGTAATACAATAGGTATCAGGCAACGTTTTTAAAATCTTGATACTATTATATTATATTAATACTATTATACTTCTATAGATAGAAAACAGTAATGAGAGATGCATTTAATTAAATGCAGGTGGGTTCTCAGCTTTCTCTGAAGTCGCTGAGTGGATGTCATCTCCCTGAACATCAAGAGTTCCAAACTCCCCACGTAGGGTTGTGACCTCGAAGGCAGAGGTGGCACAGTCTGCATTCATTTGGTAAGATGAAGCTCAGGAATGAGGAGGTTAGAATGAACGCTTACCTGCACTGGGTGGAGCCTGGTTTTGATGCTTCCTACGCCTTCCACGGTGATGACAGCAGCTCCATGCAGGGAGCACAGGGGCACCAGACATGCCATGACAGAGAAGTGTCTTTGTATGAGAAACACAAAGAAAACCGGGTGAAGAGGTGGTACTGCCCTGTGGAGAACCAGGAACTGTGAAGGGTGGTGGAGACCCTCCCGAGTCTTTGATGGATGACTGGGGGACTGTAGAGTAATGACAGATTTGGGGGACCACAGGAGTGGGAGCCCTCTCTGCTCACTCTATGCCGTCTATGAGAACTGGGTGTCCTCAGTGTGAACTCAGATGTTCTGAACCTCGGGAAATCTTTACAGTCTTAAAACAGATCCACCTAGAAGCAGTGGGAATGGTCCCGGGCAGCCAGCAGGGTGGCTGGGCTTCTGTTAGTCTTCGTTAGAGCAATGACCTTATCACAAGCAAAGGTTATTTGCCTTTTGCCCGTATCAACACATTTTAATTCATTTCCTTATTAATTTAAGTACTCTCCGTAAAATCATTTAACAGTGTGGGGTGATGTTCTGAAGCAATCTCGGTATGGACCGATGATGTGGATGGAGCCCAAGTTCTAGAATCTGACTCTTAAGGAGTGAGATCATGGCTCAGTAGCTTCCTTTGAAAGACTGATCCCAGTCCAAAACAACAACAAAAAACAGAAACAAACAAGCAAAAAAAGGAAAGGAAAAAGAGAGAGAGAGAGAGCATTAGCTACCAGGTCAGAAAAACTATGTATTCAAGTTGTTGATCAGCGGGGTTATATGGCCTTGAACACATCTCCTTTTCAATTTGAGCCTCCGTTTCCTCAAGTAGGAAATAAACCATTGGCTTGTCTTGGTTCTTAGCCTGGAGAACACGGATGAGCCTTAGGAGGATTGTAGTCCCTCACATGTGATATGCAGAGGGCTATTAGTTCATACATGATCATAGCAGAGGGCTATTAGTTCATACATGATCATAGCAGAGGGCTGTTAGTTCATATGTTATCGCAGCAGAGGGCTCACGACGTTCGTGGGGATTTTCGTCGGGATCTAAGAAAAGGAGACACTGAGGATTTGGCCTTTGATAGTTACAGGATAGATCAGAAGCCAGACAGAGACAGAACCCTCTTCTGGCTTCTGGACCTGGGGAGCTACCTTGTCTTCCTGGATACTGCGTCGTGCCTGGACACCATCACGGTGCAAGCCCCACAGCCTCCTGTGCCACAGGCATACTTAGTACCTGTGAGACGCACTGGAGAGGGAGAAGTCAAGAAAAGATGCAAAGAGGAAATTTTGCCTCTGAGGTACCTGCCCCCCTAGGGTGTCCCGAGTGTGAGAGGTCTTGTGGGTTGAGATGTAGTCAGAGAAGCCATTAGATTAGATCAGCAGTGTGGCTCAGCAGTGTGGCCCTGGAATTACTAGTCTGTTCTGGCTTATTTCCATTTGTGGAGAGGGAGGAAGTAGTCTTATGTCTTCTTCTGGTTCTAATCATGGAAGAACTATTTTTCTTAAAGATTTATTTCTTATGTATAGTGTGTTCTGTCTGAATGTATGCCTGCAGGCCAGAAGAGGGCACCAGATCTCATTACAGATGGTTGTGAGCCACCATGTGGATGCTGGGAATTGAACTCAGGTCCTCTGGAAGAGCAGACAGTGCTCTTAACCCCTGAGCCACCTCCCCAGCCCTGAGAAGAGTTATTTTTTAACAACAACACATTGCTCATTTTGTCCTGTAATAAGCAAGGCGTTGGCACCCAACCTTCCTCTGGCTGAATTGCGTTCGAAAGTGGTGATGACTCCAGACCTCGTATCTGAAAATTTGGTTTCTTTCTTTCTTTTTTCTTTTTTCTTTTTTTTTAAGTGGCTGGAGAGACAGCCATGGGTGAGCCTAGCCTTTAACGGCTGAGCCATCTCTCCAGCCCGAGAATTTGGAGTCTCTATTACATAACACTCCCGTGACACAGTAGAGCTGAAGCAAATCGGTTAGCTTCTATTTCATGCTATTCAATCACACACAAGCAATGCTGGGAAACTTTTTCTCCCCTCTAAACCACGCCCGATTAATCTGATATTCTTCAAGCCACTGCCAAAAGCAAATAACAAGCCAGGGCCAAAGGGCTCGGTCACCTCTGGCAGCCATATTGGCCTAAGTTCTTAAACTCTGAAAGGCATGCATGGGCATGCTGGAGACATCAATCAAAAGGATCCAGTTCCTCCTCAGGAAGGCCAGCAGAGTGACTTCCGGGTCCACATTCTTCTCCGTCACCTGCATTGGAAACAGGAGGGATTATGGGGTTGAGTGGATGACTCAGCGGAACTGCTGTGGTCGGCTGCTTGATCTGCTTGATGTAGGAGATGGTTGTAGCTGACCAGACCTGCTCTGAGGAGAAACGGTGTTCAAGGGCTTTCCCAGGGCAGGAGCCTCACGCGGCCAGTGTAGCAATGGACTTTCCTGTGGGGCAGGCGTCAGGAGCCACTCACTGCGGTGTGACGCTATCTTTGGACGTTCACTCTGCGTTTTCCACATTTGCTCTGTCCTCTGCCCTCATGGAACCTCCCAACGGAGTCTTTGGAAGTGTTTTAAACTTGGATTATGTTTGCTTGGAACTGTCCCATAGGGAGAAAGCCTGGGTGGGACATTTCTGCCGTCTCTGGGACAGCCGTAGGGCACATTTGATGACCTCTGAGGCCACAGGGAGTCACTGGGGACAGTTATTGTTATCTTGAGGAGGCTCTCGGGTCTGCTGGTTCCCCGCCTTGAGACCCTCTCATGTCCCAGAGAGGGTCTAGATTAACCCCATATCTTCCTTTGGAAAGTGGAGAGCTCACATGGAAAGTCACCTGGGAACTTTCTCGTTTCCTTTTTTCCCATTTAGGTCACCTTGCTTTCGCTTTGGGGTGCCATGGGAACACCTCCCTCTGCTCTGCTGTGTGACGGGAGAGTGGGATGTCACAGGACCAGAAAGGAAGGTTTACTGGGCAATACTAACTTCTTCCTTTCTCCCCAGAAGGGAGACAAGCACTTTTGCACACCTCAAAGAACAGTATGTACCTCAAAGAACAGTAATCTGTAGGAAGATACTTCTAAGGTGAAAACTATTCCCTGGAGCTGGAGAAGGTGCCCCATGGGTGGAAAAACAACAAAACCTCTCCTCTGTGGCCCTTTCTCTCACCACAGGCCTATTACAAACAGCTATGGAGAATGTGATCAACCCCCCCCCCCCCAATACACACTATCCACAGACTCCTACCACACAGAGTTTCCTCTCCTCTCCCTCCCCTCCTGTCTATCTCTTATTCTTGGTTCTGACTACACCATGCCACTCTGGGCTCATAATTCAATCTGGGGCTGATAGAGGAAGGAACCCCCTCTGGCCTTTGGGTATCCAAAGCCTTGGACAATGGAGAAGCCATTTATAACTCAGCTCATGAGTGACAGCTGCGGAAGGACACAGAAGGACGTGGTGTGGCTGCCTAGGGAGTCTATTCAGGAGGGAAGGTGTGCAGGTCAGTGAGGAGCCCTGCAGGAAGCTCTGGCTGCCTCATTGGGTCGGCACCTGAGGTGCAGTTGGCGTGATTGAGTCCTGGTTAGGTTTGCTGAGTCTGAGGTTTGAAAGGCTCTTGAGGGAAGGTGGAAAGACTCCAGAATAGCTATGTGCTCTTGGAAGGCAGAACGGAGCTCATGATGAGAAGGGCCTGGTCTCTTTAAAAGTAACGAGCGTCCTGTGTGACTGGGTGCTGAGGCCAGGAAGGAGGCTCTCAGAGAATAGCAACTGAGAGACTCTGTCCTTGTCCATTTGTCCATATATTCCCTCAGAACAGGCTGCTACCCAGGGAGGGAGGGATCTCCAGACTGACGGCACTCAGATGTCAACCCTTCTGTATAGTGGGGACTCCACAGGGCAGCAGTTTGGAACCTATGGGCTGTGACCCCTTGGGGGAGTTTTATGGAGGCCCAAAAATGTGAGCCTATTTTCACCTTGACCAACTGTCAAAGAGTTGGAACTTACCTCTAGTCCTTCAAAGTTATTGTGTTTCTACCTCAAACAAAGGTCCCACCTAGGCAGAGACCAGAGAGTTCTGCTCTCTCAAGGAGGTAATTGTCAGCAGGTGTGGCTAATAGCCAGCCCTTGTGTTTCAGGAAAAGAGAAGTAGATCTGTTTCTACCTCAAACAAAAATCTAAGGATCCAACTAAATTTCAGTTCCCTAAAGGAGATAACATTGGATTCCACCCAGGGAGTGGTTTGCCGACAGGACGTTTTGGTCTAGGGTGTGAGTGTGACTTGTTTTGTTCTAGCAACAGAATGCTTAACTATGAACGTAGCCCGCGACCTTCAATTAGTCTGTTCATTTTCTACCTTCAATTCGTCTGTTCATTTTCTCGCCCTGTTAACGTAGTTCTTTGTCTTACTCCTACCTTTTGGGGTCAAGAGTATTTTAAACAGTTAAAAATTAAACACAGGCGATTTCAATATACCCTGGCACTCCTCCCAGTACTATTCTATGTTTTTCTGTTTTGTTATTTTCGTGTCTTCATATTCTTTACTAATATTTATAAATCCTAACGCCCCTACCTTGATGAGTAGTATTTTTGTTGAGGTTTATCCGCCACAGGGTTGCTGAATGACCCTTTCACAGGGATCCCCTCAGATCATCGGAAAACACAGGTACTTACACTACGGTGCATAACAGAATTAAACTTGCAGCTATGAAATAGCAGCGAAAATAACGTTATGGTTGGGGGTCACCATAACATGAGGAACTGTCTTAAAGGACCGCACCGTTAGGGAGGTGGAGAATGGCTGCCCTAGAGAAATCGACGTGATAAATAGAAAAACAAAGATGGATCCATTTCCATTTAAAATGGAGTTTGAGTCGCGAACCATGTTACAGGGTCCATGGCTTCTGTACTGCTTCCTGGCCAATGATAGTGTTTATTTGGGCGCATAGCCGCGGTCCCTGGCATCCATCCCAGCCCCCCTGGCCTGGGATTGGCATTGGTCTGGACTCCAAATCCCAGCATGCCAGGTCCTGACCCTCGTTCTTCCCATTTTTTATGATAGCCGTGTAAAGCAGATGACAGACAGGAGGCCTCCGAGCTCAGGGAGGTGAAATCATTTGTCAAGTTATGCAAGAGAGGGCAGTAAATTGATTGACAGTATCAGGGCTGTGCGAAGAATCCCAAGGCTATCCTGCTTACCCCACTCCCCCCATTCATTGCTAGGACCCTTGTTGGCCTAGCGGAGAAAAGGCAAGTCAGAATGGGTTCCCAAACCTGGACTGGAGTCTCAGTCCAGATTCCTCTGCACCCCCTGGAGCCAGGGGTTTCCCTGGCTCCACAGCAACAGCGCTCACTCTACCCACCCCTTACCTTCTTTCCATTCACAAAGAACACCAGTTCATCCGAGCTCTGGGATGGGCAAGGCATGGCTCTGGTGAGTAAGTCTGACTTCCTGGCTCTGGGCAGAAACACTTCCCAATGCCAGCTACAGAAGTGAACCAAAAGAATTTCTCCTGAGTAGAAGCAGGCAGCCCACAGTTCTGGCAGGAGCAACTGGGGGTGGGGAGTTTTTGCTTTGAGGCTTTTTAAAGTCCAGAGCCCTGTGTGGCCTCCTCTAATCCAGTCCCTCACCTCCCACCAACCCTGGCTTTGAAGCTGGCTCAGGAGGCCGCCTCAACCCCTTCTTGTTTGCTTTCTCTGATATCTGAGAGCTTGGTGTGACATCCACAACCACCCGAGCTTAAACCCACTAGGTGCCACCTCAACCCGGCACCCTGCCTCCATCCTGGATGTATCCCACCCTTCTCAGAAAGTGAGCAGTAGGCCTCCCAAGACCCACATGCCCCACTTTCCCCAGCTTCTTCCTCATTCTTTCTGGGTAAAGGATGCCTCGCAGGAAAATGCACAGTTGGATTCAGTCTGTGCTTAAGTTGAGGTGAAGGTGTGAGGTGTCACCACCCCCCCCCAATTGGCCCCTCTACATGCTTTCTGCTGCTTCTTTCTGCTCTAGTTCACTCTGTAAAAAAAAGTACATCCTTTGAAGATGTCCCAAGGCTAGCAGAGCCAAGGCTGGCAGTTCAGTGTCTCAGAAGTGACCCAGAACTGAGCCAAGTCCTCCTGGTTTGAGACAAGGCTAAGATGCAGTGAGATTTTGTTGAGAAGAGGAAAAGGAGGCAACAGAGGAACAGCAGCAGTAACAATGAGTGCTGTCCATGAATAAAAAGCAGGTTGGAGGACCCATAAGGACAAGGGGACCAGGAAGAAGCCCCCAGCCCACGATGAGGAGATATCACGCTTACACAAATCCTCTCCAACTGTGCATCCACCTATAAAATTATGCTGATTTCATTGGTTAACTAAAGTGACGCCCAAGGCTTGCTGGGTAAAGCAAGCAGCTGCTTCTGTGGTCTGGTTTTGGGAGAGTGGAGGAGTGTTCTCTTTTCTAGAACACCCTTCAAGCGGTCGTGAGCCCCAGCACCATCATTAAAGTAAAACCCCGATGCTAAGATGAACATTGACTGTGTGACGTGGCTTCAGGTCAGAAGCACCCAGCTCCTCTGCGCCTAGCTGACTGAGAACTTCCTCCTTCTCAGTCTCTTCACGTGTGACTCCCTCCAGCCACAGAAAACGCTCCAGATTGAATGTGGTTGTCAGCACTCACATTTCACAGTTTGAAAGGCCTGCTCATCAAGTTTCCCGGTTTACGTAGATGCAAGGGTGTGTGTGTGTGTGTGTGTGTGTGTGTGTGTCACACGGATTAAGATTTGCTGAACAAATTGGCCTAAGATCTTGGGAGGGGAAGTTGGAGATCTCTGTGAATTAGAGAGACAGGACCTTCAGTCTGGCTGTTTGGTCATGTCCTGATGTTCAAAAAACCCCATAGTTCCCTGAGGCCTGGGATATAAGATCCAAACTCAGTAGGTGTGCTAAGCCCCCAGCCTGCTTTATTTCTGTACTCAGAACGCTCTTGTTCTCTCTCTCTCTCTCTCTCTCTCTGTGTGTGTGTGTGTGTGTGTGTGTGTGTGAGGTTGTCGTGTGTGTGTGTGTGTGTGTGTGTGTGAGGTTGTCCTCCCAAACAGCCCAAGCACTTACCCCCTTTCTTCTTAGGGAGGAATTTCTCTACTTAGTCTCTTCCAATGGCTTCCCATTACCTTTAGTGAAACTCCATATGCCTGTCCTGGAGAGCCTGTGGATTGGCCTCACTCGCCTCTCAGAATGTCACTTAACCCACTCCTTCCCTCGTTCACGCTCTTTGCCCTGTTGGCCCCTTTCCTGCTTATGGGGGATGTTTAGCTCTTTTCTGGCCTAGGGCCTTAGTATATCTTTTTCCCTTAGACTCAACTTCTCTCTCAGGGTTTGACATGGCTGGGGTCCTTCTTGTGTCTCAGGACTGAACATTTCCTGATCACCTGATAGCACCCTTGCTTCACGGGCAGCGTTCATTGTTCCTGCTGTTCTTCTTTTCCTCCTTCTCCACGCAGAGTCTCCTTGAGTAGCCCTGGCTGTCCTGGAATTCACTCTGTAGACTAGGCTGGTCTTGAACTCACAGAGATGCACCTGCCTATCCCTCCAGAGTGCTGGGATTAAAGGTGTGGTCTGCCAGGCTGGTTCTCCCATTGTTTCTTCTTCTTCGTCTTTATTTTTTTTGGTTTTTCGAGACAGAATTTTTCTGCAGCTTAGGAGCCTGTCCTGGAACTAGCTCTTGTAGACCAGGCTGACCTCGAACTCACAAAGATCTGCCTGCCTCTGCCTCCCAAGTGCTGGGATTAAAGGCATGTGCCACCACCACCCCGCCTTCTCATTGCTTCTTAACATGGTTACTGGGTACCATTTCTTTTTGCTTTTTCCACTCGAACAGAAGCTCCAGGAAGGTGGGGATGTGATGCTCAGTTGTTCATCACATGCCCAGGGCCTGTGAAGTAATTATTAGATGATTGGACAAGGTTCCCCCACATCTGCAATGACTACAGACTTCCCTCTGTCTCTACTTGGTTGCTCCCACTCTACTGTTTGCTGCCAGAACAGAGGGGACGTCCTGAGGAAGAGACAGTAACCCTGGAAGGTGAGTGGGAGTTGAGCCCTGAGAACTGAGAATAGAGGAGATAGGATGGGGAAGAGGAGCCATGGAGACTTCTGCCATTCCTAGGGTCATTTTCATTTAAGGGGAAACAACGCAGGGATTGCTTTAAGGGTTCACATGCTGTTCAGCCCCCTCCCTTTTGGGTGAGGGCAACTTGTATCTGCAAAGAACACAGGGTCGCTGTGCGTGGGAGTTTCCAGGCTGCTGGTGATAGAAGCATATGTATTGATGAGCCCCCAAAATACTGATTATGATAAGCCCTCCAAGGATAAGCCTTCAGAGGAGGAAACACTTTGTGCACTGGAGTTGGATTAAGGTGTTAGATTCAGGTGGTCTGAAAGTACTTAGGTAAACAAATGGATTAAAGTCTGGGAAGCTGAAAACTGACCTAAGTTCTCCAGAGAAGTGTTTTTCAAGCAGAGCAAACTTTTGTTTGCATGAAGTCTTGGGATAGAAACAGATTGGGGGAAGTGGTCCGGCTGTAGCCAGGGTGAGGCTACAAGCCTCTGGCTTTCACCCCTGCCACAAGCTCCCATGGTGTCCGGCTGCTCAGTGTGGAAACTGTTCACTTTAGAACGAGCAAAAGGCTCTGTGGTGAGCGGGCCAGATGCACATCTGGGATAAAGCAACCATCTGTTTTCCATACTTTTAAAATCTTTTAACCTCTTATTTATTCTTTGACCATTTTAACCTCTTATTTTTACATTTGTCTACAATGTATCTGGATTTATCCCTACCCCATCCTCTTCTCCACTCTTCCCACCTATGCCCTGAACGCTACCATTCCCACGTTTATAGCCTCAACTTTTTAGAATTTTGTAACCCGCTGACTCCAATTAGAGGCACTAGAAGACGAAGCAGTCTTGGCTTGATCTTACGCCCTAAGGTAATATAACTATGCAGATAACCATAACTGCTGTGAGTTCATGGGCATAATGCCCGAGGCATGTTCATAACACAGCCCTTTTCTGAAATGTTCCCTGGGCCTGGTGGGAGGGGCTTGATATAGATGCCCCATTTACAGCCGAGCACCCCAAATCACTTATTCTTAGCACTTTGGCCAGTTAATAATCTCTGCATTGACTGCTGTCCAACACGGACAGGCAACGCTAGTCTGGGAGCACAAAGAATGAAAAGGCAGTTTGACAACATACAGATTTAGTTAACTAATAGCAGGATATAAATTTAGTTAAACAATAGCAGTAGGCTCTGTCCTACAGCCTATGACGTCTGCTGCCACGGGCTTTTGGTCAGCTTCACTTACAGCACCAAGTGTGAATTCCCTACTGTGGGGCACTCCTCAGATGGAATGAGAAGACAGTGGGTGACCCCATAACCATCATGCCACCATTACACCACGGGCACATCTCGCTTGGCATGTCAGTATTGAGGTATCTAACGCTCACTGTCGGGATAATACCACTGAAGACTTATTTTCCCAGAGGTCTGCACGGGGCTGTGGAAACAAGCCAGCAGTGGGGAAATTTTCAAGTCAGTTTTGAGTTTGACTTCTCTATGTCTATAAAAAAAGTATGTTGCATCTTCAGTAATGTATACTCTAAAGGTAGACTCTGTGTGTGTGTGTGTGTGTGTGTGTGTGTGTTTAGCTGGTGACTGAACCCAAGTATCTCTCTTTCTCTCTTTTTCAACACAGGATTTCTCTGTGGCTTTGGAGCCTGTCCTGGAACTAGCTCTTGTAGACCAGGCAGGCCTCGAACTCACAGAGATCCACCTGCCTCTGCCTCCAGAGTGCTGGGATTAAAGGCGTGCGCCACCACCGCCCGGCTGAACCCAAGTCTCTTCTGAGACAAGTATTTTCCCACTTAGTTACATCCTAGGCTGAAATTTCTCTGCTTTTCAATGGATTGCTCTGTTTGGTGAGTGAAACTTCTCTGTTGACCCAGGTGCTTGAATGTAAGGTCCCATGATTTGTATGACAAAGCCCATTGTGTTTTTCATCACCTAGAAGCCCAAAGGAGACATTTGTTCTCTTCCAGTGTTTTTTAAAAAAAAAAAACGGTTACTAAGTACTTACCAGAATAGGACTTACATTGCACCTACAAACTGGTTGATTTAAATGTATCCATAACAAAAAGATCTATCCAAGAATGCTTTGTGTGAGTTTCAGACTGCTGAAACTTCATTGTAGCTATTTTATTTCCTCTGAGCAGGAGTCTAGAGATTTGAATGTTTCCAATTTCCAGACTGGGTTGGAGATAAAAGACCTGAGGCCACTTGCAACCCCCAAAGACAAATGGTTTGTTTTACAAGGTTCTCAGATTCCCCGCTCCCCCTCCAATCTCTATATCTCTTTTTCTCTGATGGGATTTCATGTATTTTGCTGTTCAGAGTGTGACTTTAGACTCCTGATCCTCCCGCCTCCCCTCCTGCCATGCTCAGTTCGTGCAGGGGCTGGACCCAGGGCTCCAAGACTAACTAGGAAGGCACTCTCCTCATTGGACCACATCCCTAGCAAGGTAAATTTTTCCCGAGGGAAAATAGTCATCTTGACACTAAGATCTAGGCTAACAGTAGGGGGCACAAACCTGCATTTTCTGGGGACTGAGAGGCAAGAAGTCCTTTACTGGTTTAAATGCATCATCAAACAAAAAGCAACCTCATTAGTAAAAATGAAGGGAAGTCTAAATGGATAAGTTCAGGGTTTTTAATAATGTATAATATGCATGTGGTGGTGGTGGTGGTGCAAGCCTTTAATCCCAGCATTTGGGAGAGAGCGAGGCAGGCAGATCTCTGAGTTCAAGGACAGCCTGGTCTACAGAGAGAGTTCTCTCTCTCTCTCTCTCTCTCTCTCTCTCTCTCTCTCTCTCTCTCTCTCTCTCTCTCTCTCTCTCTCTCTCTCTCTCTCTCTCTCTCTCTCTCTCTCTCTTTCTCTCTCCCTCGCTTCCTCCCCCTCTCTCCTTCCTTCCTTCCTTCCTTCCTTCCTTCCTTCCTTCCTTCCTTCCTTCCTTTTTTTTTTTTTGAGACAAATTTTCTCTATGTGATGGTCCTGGCTAGCCTGGAACTTGCATTGTAGACCAGGCTGGCCCGTCTGCCTCTGTTTCCCAAGTACTGGGATTAAAGTCACGTGCCACCACCACCTGGCTCAGGATGACATTTTCACACATGCAGGTATAAATTCTCAGGAGGAGTGGCCCCTCACGAGCCCTCACCTGAGAAGACGCTGAGGGCTGACTTCGTGCGGGTCTAAGGGAGCTAATCACAGCTGCCCTGAGTCAAGAATGCCAGCCTGGAAGAGGGCGCTGCACTTCTTCCAGCTGCTACAGTCTCTACATACCTTCTCCTGGAATGCTACCTGAGGTGACAGAGATGTCCCGTTCATTTACATTTAACGAGGTCTTTCCAGTCTTTCTAATTTCTGCCCAGCACATAAAGAAGCCCCGAAGAGCTAGCGCATGGCGCAGACTCAAAGAAGCCCTGAAGACAGCTAGCGCATGGGCGCAGACACAAACAAGCCCTGAAGACAGCTAGCGCATGGGCGCAGACACAAAAGAGCCCTGAAGAGCAGGGCTAGCACATGATAGCGCATGGGCCCAAACACAACCATGTAGAGGGTGACATGCCGGGTACATCACGTCCGCATAAAACAGTAGCTGGAGCTACCTGCTCTGCCAATGGCCTACCCAGCATTGGGCTTTGAGCTGGGTTTCCGGTACCACACGTGAATCCACTAATGTGGACTCCGACAGAGAGTTGTTCCCGGAAAGCAGACCTGCCGCTACTGACCAGTGGTCTCGTCTCCTGGGTGATGTTGCCAGTAATGTTGCTCTGAAGAGCCACAGCTGAGAATGACTGCTGATGCCCTCCAACCACGCCGCCCCCCCGCCCCCCGTCGACTCCCAGCCCCACCCCCAGCGCCTAGCACAGCTCCCTCAGAGGGCTAGCCTCACAAGAAGGCTTTTCCTCTGTGTTCTGTGACCAAAGCGTGTTATGTAATCAGATTATTCTTGTTGTCCAGATGTAATGAGTTTGCGGGTTAGGTTCCAGGAAGTGTAGATTGTTGGGGGGGGAATTAAAAGATTAAATTAAATACTTAAAGGCACATGTAGGCACCCACACCTTGGAGTGGGATGCAGCAACTGGTGAGCCTTCCTCTTGCTGGTTTGTGCTTTCTATTTCGGTGTAAATGTGGTATATCCATGTGTGTGTGTGTGTGTGTGTGTGTGTGAGAGAGAGAGAGAGAGAGAGAGAGAGAGAGAGAGAGAGAGAGAGAGAGCATGTGTGCCTTCATGGAGGCCAGAGGAGTGCGCTGGGAATCCTATTCTTCTCCACCTATTTCTTTAAGACAGAACTTCCCACCTAACTTAGTGCTAGGCTGGGAGCCAACAAGCCCCAAAGCTTCCACAGTGCTGGGGTGGGGGCAGCATGAGCTCTGGCTGGCTTTCTTTGTGGGTGCCAGGATCTCAGGTTTTTATGCGTGCACAGCAAACACTCTGAGCCCTCTGAGCCACCTCTCTGGCCCCCAACCTGTTCTTTTGACCTGGTCTCAAGCAGGCTAACAACACAGCTGCAGTTTGTGTCAACAGAGGTTAGATAAACGGGAAGCCTTACTGCTGAGTCCACAGGTCATCGACAAAAGGCTAAAGTTCCTAAGAGAGCTCCTAGATGCATTTCCTTGGGAGAGATGCAATGTAAGATGGGTAGAAAGGAACCAAAAAGCAAAGGAGCCGGGCAGTGGTGGCGCACACCTTTAATCCCAGCACTCAGGAGGCAGAGGCAGGTGGATCTCTGTGAGTTCGAGGACAGCCTGGTCTACAGAGTGAGTTCTATAACAGCTAAAGCTGTTAAAGAGAGAAACCCTGTTTCGGGGGGAGGGGGAGTTGGGAAGAAAAGAAAAAAAAAAGTAAAAGAACTTTGTGGATTTGTGTTATTTTGGTGGTTCTGACTTCATGCTTTATCGATTAAGCCCAAACCCGAACCACACAAGAGTGACCCTGGACCGATGCTCAGCTCAGTGTGGTCTTCTAGGAGGGGAGATGCTCTATCATGTACAAAGTTCACAGTGAGCGTTGCCATTCGGGAGCTTCTGATGCTGTTTTCCATCTGCTTCGTGTAGTCACGACAAAACACTAGAGGCTTGATGTTTCATGAAAAAAAGAGGTTTATTCCGGCTCCTAGTTTAGAGGCTAGGTCACATGACTGTCCATCTGGTGAGGACCTCCTCTCTGTCCTGGTAGCTGACAAGGGCTCATACAGGCAGGGAAGAAGCAAGAGCTGAGCAGGAGCCAGGCATGGAAACACCCCCATTCCCCCCTCTCAGCGTCCATCCCCCAACTCCTCACTCTGGCTAGACTCTGAATCTTTCAGTTGACACCGCCACCCTGGGGATCAGGCTCCCCGCAAACACCCTTGAAAGGAGCTGCATTCAAACCAGCTCAGATGAAGGAGGCAGGTGTCTGCACTATGGGGGGCCTGAGTGCAGACACAGCTCTCAGCTGCTCCCAGGAGCCCAGAGAGAGTTCCCCTGCACATCCAGATTCCCCAAGGGCTTAGGGTTTGCCCTTGCCACAGTGTTCACACCTCAGGCAGTGGTGGACACTGTAAAGTAGGGTTTTCGGGTGTGCTGGTTTTGGGAGACTCCAACTCAGAGATTTTCAGGATGGGTAGTTTTCTTGGGTTTTGAGCGAAGCTGTTTGAAACAAAACATGAGGAGACCCTCCTAAGCTACCCCAGGTTAATGGAACGTTGCCAGGTTTAAAAACCTCTGTGATGCAGATTTCCAGGATAATAAAAACTACATCAGAATTTGATTCTTTTTTTAATTTAATTAATTAATTGATTTATTTATTTATTTTTGAGACAAGGTTTCTCTGTAGCTTTGGAGCTATCCTGGAACTAGCTCTTGTAGACCAGGCTGGCCTCGAACTCACAGAGATGAGCCTGCCTCTGCCTCCCGAATGCGGGGATTAAACACGTGCACCACCACCCCCTGGCTCAGAATTTGATTCTATGTTTTGTTAACCCTGTTTGGTGAAAACCTGCACCCTCAAATGTAACCATGCAACAACCTAACCACAGAGAATAACTGAAAGTAGAAAACCATGCTCGGCAAGCTCAAGTCAATGCGTGCTGCTCCGATGCCAGGCTAGCGGGCCAGCTGTGTGTTTGTTCATTTCCTCAGAGGAGCAAGGTTAAGACACATGGATGGACCAAGGCGTGAATGTTGAAGGGTCATCTCTGGGAATCTAAAAAGACCAAAACAAAGAAGGTTCTTGTTAGCAAATATTATTCCACGAAAAATGTTATGATCTGAAGGCCATCTGAAAACAGAACTAAGTTGATATCAATTTTTCTTTTTATAAAAGTTATATAATTTTTCATATTTACTTCAACCATCCAGTCACAGGTTTATCTTATTTTTTTTTTAAAAATATTTTTTATGGTTTATTTAACTTTATTTTATGTGCATTGGTATGAAGGTGTCAGATCCCCTGCAACTAGATCTTCAGACAGTTGTGAGCTGCTATGTGGGTGCTGGGAACTGAACTGAGTCCTCTGGAAGAACAGTCAGTGCTCTTAACCACTGAGCAATCTCTCCAGCCCCCACAGGTTTGTCTTCTTAATACATACCTCACACAGGTGCTTATATTTTTGAGGTAGGGTTTTCTGCAGAGTTGAGGTTGGTCTTGAATTTGTGATCCTCCTGCCTCAGCTTCCAGAGTGTGGGGATTACAGGTGTCTTTTCTGTTTGCTTTTGGTGTTGGGGATGGAATCCAGGGCCTCTTGAATGTGCTCTGCCACTGTGCTACACCCCAGCCCTTACCCTCTAAACCGCTAATGTTTGGGGTGATCCAGAGCCACGTTCAGCATTGCAGTCTCCAGACCACACTGTGCTATCGGATTTTATACCCACGATTCACTTGGGCTGCAGGAGGCAGGGCCATGAAGAGATGTTTTCTGGGACCGTCCTGCGTGTAGGTTTTGCAGCTGGCGAATGGAACCGTGTCCTATCTAGTACCTGGTAGCACGGCACAGGAAGGTGTGCCTAGAAACCTGGTCATTTCCTTTCAATTACTTCTATGTGTTTGCTTAACGGATACTTGCTGTGTCATTGAGCAGGCCAGAGATCTTGTAAGTGAGGTAATGAAAGGCCACATCAATTGCATTTTGATAAAATATTTAGGGAAGCAATCCCTTGCTATTAGCGCTCTTTTTCTTTAGAGCCTGAAGCAAGCCAGTGCTTGCAAACATTTGGAGGTATGCAGGAAGTGGTGAGTGAAGGCCAGAGGAGAATTTTCATTGGGAAAGATGGACGTGGCTGTGATGTTGTCATGGTTACCACATCCATATCCAGAACACTGAAGTCCACCCATGGGGTGAGGACCGTACAGACGTCCCTTACCATGTCGGTAAACTGATCCGTGCAGCTCATACGAATCACTTCAGGTGTCGCTGGGCTGTTCATGGGGAAGGTGTCACTCATGCCTCTCTCCCTGCGGGCAGCCGTCACCGCGTCGTAGATGGCAAACAAGACCGAGGACCCCAGGAACATTCCAGCCTCACCCAACCCCTGAGAAAAGCATACAAAGTAGTTAGAAATGCAAGATGCGTTAGGTTTAGTTTACACACACACACACACACACAGACACACAGACATAGACACACACACAGACACACATACAGACACATAGACATAGACACACACATACACACACAGAGACACAGACACACACAGAGACACACAGACACAGACACACAGACACACACACAGGCACACATAGACACACACAGACACATAGACACAGACACACACACATACACACACAGAGACACACAGACACAGACACACACACAGACACACACACAGACACACACACACCTCTTTTCTGGCTTTATCACTGGAGTGTATCTGAGTTATTGAAACAAGAGGGTTCTTATGAGGACACCTGGTGAAAATGCCATTGCAAACGGGAAAGTGGGCATCCAGAAACACATGCCTTCCTACCGAGTAGAGCCCGGAAGACCACGCCCTTCGTGCCTTCGAGGGTACCCGTCTTTTTGTTAATTTTTTCTCTTGCGGTGTTGGTGGCAGAACTGAGGCCCTCGTGTTGGCTGGGTAAGTGCTCTACCACTGAGATACCCCCTGGGCACCCAGATTGTTTGCCTTTAACTCAAAGCCCAGATGGAATGACCGTAGTAGAGGGTGAAGCAGTTGGCTGTTCTCACGCGGCCTCCTTGGCACCCGCTGGGTGTGTTTGAACAAACGGGGCGAGGGCATTATGCCTCGAACGATTCGCCAGTGAGCCTTAAAACATTATTTTTCTTTACGCACATGTATGTGTGCCTGTGTGTGGCTATGCCACATGTATGAGGATGTCTGCGGAGGCAGGAAGAGGGTGTCCGGTGCCCTGGAGCAGTGACTTAAGCATGGGGCCAATACCTCGAGCACCAGCAGCTGTGGACATGAAGACTGAAAAGCCAGAGTGGAGTCAGCTGAGAGCCCACCCCGGTTTGTAAGGGTGCGAGAGAGACTGCAGGGAGAGGAATTCTACGGGACAGGCGTAGAGGCTGCAGAAAAGAGAGATGTGAGATGCTGGACTTTGCTCGTGACCGCGGTCTAGTGGACCATGATGCCCAGAGACTTCTCCGCAGACCTCACTGGATTCCGGGTTGTTTCGTGTTTCGGGGTTAAGACTCCACTTGTGTTGAAGAGTCTGTGAGATCACCCCTATGCCTCGGGCACTTACAAGTCAAAGGAGAAAGCAACTCTGGAGGCCCGTTTCATGATCTCTTGACACAGGAGGCTGTTATGGGCTGAATTCTGTCTCTCATTAAACACGTGTGTTCAAACATTCTCTCAGTCCTTAGGAATGCGGCTGCGTTCAGAGATAAGGTCTCTGAAGAGGTGACTAAGTTAAAATGAGGCTCTTCTGTTAGACCCTTGTCCAGTGTGAAAGGGACACAGAAGGGATCCGGACACAGATTGGCACAGGTGACCATCAGTAAGTTGGAGAAAGCTGGACAGAAGAAACCAAGCCTACACATGGGGACTTCAGGGCCACAAACCTCGACATAAGCCTCCAGGTCATGGGATTTTTGTTTAGGACAAAAATTGCTGGGGTTTGCCATCCTCAGCGAACAGAGAGATCACCCATCCTTACCTTGGACGAGTAGATGGCTATGGGGTTTCGAGAGTGCACCAGAGAGACGTACAACTCTTCCGGTATCTCGGTGACGGTGGGGATCTTGTAGTCGTCTGGACCCCGAGAGTGGAGCACACCCTCCGGGGAATATTTCAGCTCCTCTATGGTGTAGAACCCCATGCCTTGGACGAACGCTCCCTCCACCTGTGGGCACAGTTTTGTGGGTGTGAGGTCTATGAAATCGGCTGAACAGAGGCTCTGGCGGGAATGAAAGCGGAGCTCTCCGAGTCACAGGAAGTCAGTCTCAAAAGCCAGCTCCGCGGCAGCTTTGACCAAGTGTCCCTAAGAAGCTGGTGTCGCCATCTTGCCTGGCTTCATTCTTTGGGACCTCACGCTGCCTCTTCGGTCTCCCAAATCCTGTTAGCACGGTTTCCTCTCATCTCCAAGTCTGTACATGTGTTTACATGTTCTCCTGACTGTTCTCACATAGGCCACCTCAACATGTCAACCTGGAAAACTCCTGTTCACCCTTCAAGTTCCACACAAACAGGGCCCACCTCTCTGAAGCTCCTTCTCCCTCCCTCCCTCCCTCCCTCCCTCCCTCCCTCCCTCCCTCC